CGTGGCCGATCGAGACCGCAAGTGCAAGCGCTGCGTCGCTGGCGCGAAGCTCCCGCGCGGATGGTGGAGATGCATAGCTTGCAAGGACGCTTTCGAAAGAAGGGATTTCAGCAGCTGGTTGGCCAAGCGGACGACGAAGGGTCCGGATGGGAAGCAGAGGTGCAACAAGTGCTTCGCAGATGAAGAGCGGAAAAGGCAGGAGGTCGCCGAGCGAAGCAGGGTGTCGGTGACAAAAAGACAGAGGACGACCTAGGTGTCATGCGTCGGGTGTGTGCGCCTCGAACCCGCCGGAACAGGGTCATGGGTCGAGGCGGGGGGGGGGCGAGGGTTCGGGGGTCCCATGACAGACGTGTCGTGGGCCAGGGGTGACGGGGCGCCGGTAGGTTTCGGGCGAGAAATTGTGGGGTGGGAGGTCCCAAGAGCAGAGCTCTCCCGGGGTGGGGATGCCCATGCAGGACGATGCATGGGTCGGACGTGGTGGGGGATCGAGGAAATGGAATACGTCAACAGGTGACGAGAAATTGCGGGGTGGGGGGTGGATGCTGGGCCCGGAGGGGGGCGAGGAGGGGGGCGTTGGTAGGTTTCGGGCGAGAAATTGCGGGGTGGGGGGTCCCGAGGACAAAGCTCTCCCGGGGTGGGGATGCCGGGCCAGGAGGGGGGCGAGGAGGAGCGCGTGGGTAGGTTTCGGGCGAGAAATTCTGGGCTGGGCGGTCCCAAGAACAGTGCTCTCTCGAGGTGGAGATGTCAGGCCAGGAGGGGGGCGTCGGTAGGTTCCGGGCAAGAAATTGTGGCGTGGGGGGTCCCAAGAACAGAGCTCTCCCGAGGAGGGGATGCCAGGCCAGGAGGGGGGCGTTGGTAGGTTCCGGGCGCGAATTTGTGGGGTGGGGGTCCCAAGAACAGTGCTCTGCCGAGGTGAAGGGCCAGGACAGGAGGGGGGCGTCGGTAGGTTCTGGGTGAGAAATTGTGGCGTGGGGGGTCCCAAGAACAGAGCTCTCCCGAGGTGGAGATGCCAGGCCAGGAGGGGGGCGTTCGTAGGTTCCAGGCGAGAAATTGTGGGGTGGGGGGTCCCAAGAACAGAGCTCTCCCGAGGTGGGGAATCCAGGCCAGGAGGAGGGCGTTGGTAGGTTCCGGGCGAGAAATTGTGGGGTGGGGGGTCCCAAGAACAGAGGTCTCCCGAGGCGGGGATGCCAGGCCAGGAGGAGGCGTTGGTAGGTTCCCGGCGAGACATTGTGGGGTGGGAGGTCCCAAGAACAGAGCTCTCCCGAGGTGCTGATGCCAGGCCAGGAGGAGAAAGTTGGTAGATTCCGGGCGAGAAATTGTGGGGTGGGGGGTCCCAAGAACAGAGCTCCCCCGAGGTGGGGATGCCAGGCGAGGAGGGGGGCGTCGGTAGGTTCCGGGCGAGTAATTGCGAGTTGGGGGGTCCCAAGAAGAGAGCTCTCCCGAGGTGGGGATGTCAGGCCAGGAGGGCAGCGTTGGTAGGCTCCGGGCGAGAAATTGTGGGGTGGGGGGTCCCAAGAACAGAGCTCTCCCGAGGTGGGGATGCCAGGCCAGGAGGGGGGCGTCGGTAGGTTCCGGGCGAGTAATTGTGGGGTGGGGGGTCCCAAGAACAGAGCTCTCCCGAGGTGGGGATGCCAGGCCAGGAGGGGAGCGTAGGTAGGTTCCGGGCGAGAAATTGTGGAGTGGGGGGTCCCAAGAGCAGAGCTCCCCCGAGGTGGGGATGCCAGGTCAGGAGGGGGGCGTTGGTAGGTTCCGGGCGAGGAATTGTGGGGTGGGGGGTCCCAAAAACGGAGCTTTCCCGGGGTGGGGATGGCAGGCCAGGAGGGGGGCGTTGGTAAGTTCCGGGCGAGAAATTGTGGGGTGGGGGGTCCGAAGAACAAAGCTCTCCCGAGGTGGGGATGGCAGGCCAGGAGGCGGGCGTTGGTGGGTTCCGGTGGAGAAATTGTAGGGTGGGCGGTCCCAACAACAGACCTCTCCCGAGGTGTGGATGCCAGGCGAGTAGGGAGGCGTTGGTAGGTTCCGTGCGAGAAATTGTGGGGTGGGGGTCCCATGAACAGAGTCCTCCCGAGGTGTGGATGCCAGGCCAGGAGGGGGGCGTTGGTAGGTTCGAGTGGGGGGGAAATTGTGGGGTGGTGGGTGGTCCCAAGACAGAGCTCTCGGGGGGTGGGGATGCCATGCCAGGAGGGGGAGGAGCGTTGGAGGTTTCTGGGCGAGGAAGTTGGGCGGTGGGGGGGGTTTCCTCAAAACTGCAGCAGCTCTCCCGGGGGGGGATGTCAGGCAGGAGGGGGGCGTCGTTGGTAGGTTCTGGCGAGCAATTGGGGGGGTGGGGGGGTCCAAAAACAGAGCTCTCCAGGGGTGGGATAGTAAGGCAGGAGGGGGGGCGTTGGTTAGGTCCGGGGCGCGGGAATTTGTGGGTTGATGGGTCTTCAAAAAAAAGAGCTCCTCTTTTTTTTTTTTACGGGGTGGGGATGTCAGGCAGGGGGGCGTTGGTAGATTCTGGGGGAGAAATGGTGGGGTGGGGGGTCCCACAAACAGAGCTCTCCCGAGGTGGGGATGTCAGGCCAGGAGGGCAGCGTTGGTAGGCTCCGGGCGAGAAATTGTGGGGTGGGGGGTCCCAAGAACAGAGCTCTCCCGAGGTGGGGATGCCAGGCCAGGAGGGGGGCGTCGGTAGGTTCCGGGCGAGTAATTGTGGGGTGGGGGGTCCCAAGAACAGAGCTCTCCCGAGGTCGGGATGCCAGGCCAGGAGGGGCTCGAGCGTTGGTAGGTTCCGGGCGAGAAATTGTGGGGTGGGGGGTCCCAAGAGCAGAGCTCCCCCGAGGTGGGGATGCCAGGTCAGGAGGGGGGCGTTGGTAGGTTCCGGGCGAGGAATTGTGGGGTGGGGGGTCCCAAAAACGGAGCTTTCCCGGGGTGGAGATGGCAGGCCAGGAGGGGGGCGTTGGTAGGTTCCGGGCGAGAAATTATGGCGTGGGGGGTCCGAAGAACAAAGCTCTCCCGAGGTGGGGATGGCAGGCCAGGAGGCGGGCGTTGGTGGGTTCCGGTGGAGACATTGTAGGGTGGGCGGTCCCAACAACAGACCTCTCCCGAGGTGTGGATGCCAGGCGAGTAGGGGGGCGTTGGTAGGTTCCGTGCGAGAAATTGTGGTGTGGGGGTCCCAAGAACAGAGTCCTCCCGAGGTGGGGATGCCAGGCCAGGAGGGGGGCGTTGGTAGGTTCTGGGCGAGTAATTGTGGGGTGCGAGAAATTGTGGGGTGGGGGGTCCCAAAAGCAGAGCTCTCCCGGGGTGGGGATGTCAGGCCAGGAGGGGGGCGTTGGTAGGTTCTGGGCGAGAAATTGTGGGGTGGGGGGTCCCAAGAACAGAGCTCTCCAGGGGTGGGGATGTCAGGCCAGGAGGGGGGCGGGGCCGTTGGTAGCTTCTGGGGCAGGCTGGCGAGAAAATTGTGGGGTGTATTCACTGTTTTAAAGAGCCCACAATTTCGAGCCCAATTTCAGGCCAGGAGAGGGGCGTTGGAAGGTTCTGGACGAGAAATTGTCGGGTGGGGGGTCAAAAAAACAGAGCTCTCCCAGGGTGGCGATGTCAGGCCAGGAGGGTGGCGTTGGTAGGTTCTGGGCGAGAAATTGTGGGGTGGGGGGTCCCCAAGAAAGAGCTCTCCCTGGGTGGGGATGTCAGGCCAGGAGGGGGGCGTTGGTAGGTTCTGGGCGAAAAATTGTGGGGTTGGGGGTCCCAAAAACAGAGCTCTGCCGGGGTGGGGATTTCAAGCCAGGAGGGGGGCGGTGATAGGTTCTCGGCGAGAATTTGCGAGGTGGGGGGTCCCAAAAACAGAGCTCTCCCGGGGTGGGGATGTCAGGCCAGGAGGGGGAGAAATTGTGGGGTGGGGGGTCCCAAGAACAGAGGTCTCCCAGGGTGAGGACGTCAGGCCAGGAGGGGGGCGTTGGTAGGTTCTGGGCGAGAAATTGTGGGGTGAGGGGTCCCAAGAACAGAGCTCTCCCGGGGTGGGGATGTCAGGCCAGGAGAGGGGCGTTGGTAGGTTATGGGTGAGAAATTGTGGAGTGGGGGGTCCCAAGAACAGAGCTCGTCCGGGGTGGGGATGTCAGGCCAGGCGGGGGGCGTTGGTCGGTTCTGTGCGAGAAATTGCGGGGTGGTTGGTCCCTAAAACAAAGCTCTCCCGGGGTGGGGATGTCAAGCCAGGAGGGGGGCGCTGGTAGGTTCTGGGCCATAAATTGTAGGGTGGGGGGTCCCAAGAACAGAGCTCTCCCGGGGTGGGGATGTCAGGCCAGGAAGGAAGGCGTTGGTAGGTTCTGGGCAAGAAATTGTGGGGTGGGGGGTCCCAAAAACAGAGCTCTCCCGGGGTGGTCACGGGAATGGTGTTCTGGCACGATTGAAAATTCTCAGACACCCGTAATGGAAATCCATTGGTGTAGGGCCTCTGGAAAAGAAGAAATGTAAAGAGGGCTAATTAACATGTCGTTGATGCGTCTTGGGTGTACACTTGCCCTCCTCCTCCTCCTCCTCCTCCTCCTCCTCCTCCTCCTCCTCCTCCTCCTCCTCCTCCTGAGAGGACCGCAGTGGACGTGGCTCCTCAGTCCGCTTTGGAAACTGGTGCCAGCTTCTGCGGTCGACATGGCGAAACTTCCGTCTGTGCCATTGAGACTCGTGCCTGCGAAGCTGTGCGAGGATTTGGTCACCCGAATCGTGCCCCTTCCACCGGCAAGATGTCCAAAGGCACCTGTGCAATCCAGGTCGTGGTTGAAGCGGCGACTGCTGCGCAGAACGTACAGCCCTCAGGTCTGCCCGCACGCAGCTCGCTCTAGCCACGCCCCCGTGTCCGCTACGTCAAATTCGGCCGCCGCGCCCCCGCGTAATGCTGTGAGTCGGTCCCTGGACGGGCCCCCTGGGCCCCTCGAGGCCTCTTTCCTCCTCCTCCTCCTCCTCCTCCATTTCCTCGCCTCGTCCTCCTCCGCCCCCCGCCTCGCCCGCTGGGCCCCCTGTCCTCCCTTGGCCCGCAGGTCCCCCAAGAGCTCCCGGGGCGGCGCGGGCCGCGGGGCGAGCCGCAGTCGTGACCGGAAAGAGCAGCGTTCCGCCAGGACCGCCGCGGCCGCAGACCCATGCTTTGGGGGCCTCCAGCTCCAACGTTTTGCCGGATCCAACGTTGGAGGAGAAGGAGGAGGAGGAGGAGGAGGAGGAGGAGGAGGAGGAGGAGGACGAGGACGAGGAGGAGGAGGAGTAGGAGGAGGAGGAGGACCAGTGCAAACCCGAGACGCATCAGCGATGTTGCATTAAACCCTTCTTCCGAGGTCCTTCTTCTTGGAAAACCAGTCGCCCTCCATCCTTGAGTATGCTGCAAGCTGTTCAAACGAATGCGCGCGGCGCCAAGGCGAGAGCCAAATGTTGAAAACGGCCCGCCCTCAATCCTTGAAATTGCTCCACATCCCAAGCTTCAGGAGCATGAGCTGCGGTAAAGTCTCAGGCGAAACGCCCGGCCCGCCCTACTGGCACATCTTGGGGCGCGACAGGGAGGAATTGTTTGTCAGGAGCAGGGGCGGAGAAGGAGTCAGAGGAGGAGGTGGAGGAGGGGGTCCTCCTCCTTCTCCTCCTCCTTCTACTCCTCCTTCTCCTGCATCTCCTCCTGCATATCCTCTGCATCCTCCTCCTCTTCCTCCTCCTCCACCCCCTCCTCCTCCTCCTCCTCCTCCTCCTCCGTAGCCATTTTGGCTCAAGCTCCGTACTAGCCATTTTGGCTCAAGTTTTTTGGCTAGTGCCAGTTTTGGTTTTGGCATTTCTTCGCTCACCCCGCCCAGCAGCGCGATGGAGGTGAAATCCATGATGCCGGAGATCCAGCGGATGTTCGAAGCACAGAGCGCCTCGCTTCAGACCTATATGAAGAAAGCTGTCCAGGAGGAGATCCAGTCATCGATGTCAGGGATCCAAGGGCAGATTTCATCCCAAGGCGCCGAGCTCCAGTCCATGAAAGATCTCCTCAACCAGCAGGATGCCCGCATCAAAACCCTTGAGGTTTCGATTTCCACGTCGGCCAGTTCGTGCAGTGGCAGTGTGCGCTCCATCGGCTCCCCCTCGTACCGCCGGAGGATCGGAGACGGAAAGGCGCGTCGAGTCGACGGCCTCGACGCTGAGCAGGACATGGGAGACCCGACCGTCAAACTTGCGGGCACGTTTCCTCGGCCCCTCCTGGAGAAGACCCGCCGCGCCCACTTCGAACAGATGCAGACGGTGTACCCCAGCGAACCCGACAGCAGCAAGGACACTCTTGAATTTCATGGCGTAAGCCAAACTTACAAACTCGTCTTCACGTCGAAGGTGTACGCCCTTGACTCCCAGCAGAAGTGCAACGGCGCGGGGATGCGCTGGATTGATTTCAGAGACCAATCCCAGCACGACCTACGGATCCGAGGCGACTTACCTCTCCATGTCAGACAAAAGAAGAGGGCCCTTTCGGCAGTATATCAAACTGTGCTCGACGAAGTGCAGAAGTCATCACACTGGTGCTCGTCATGCCGTTTAGGCGTCAACGGGCACAAGGGAGTTTTCCAGATCATCACCGAGAGCGACGTCTACGAGCTGATCCTCGCCACGCCCGCCGGCCTCGACCAATTCACGCTCGAGCCCATGTACCCCGGCCTGGAGCACTGGGGCATCGCCAAGGAGCGCGCCGACAGCATTGTGAACGTCGAGAGTCTCTGACAGGGTCCTGCAGGGCACAACAGTGCCGATCTGACGCAGACCTCCCCCGCTCCTCCTCCTTCTGGCCCGTCTGGGTGCGAAGGCTTTGCTTGCGCTAGCGTGGAAGATAACAGCTGGGGCTGTTGGGGCTCCGCTCGACCGTCCTCCTCTCCTCCTGTCTGTGCGTCAGCTGCGCTGCCTTTTGTTGCCAGCCACCCGCCTCGGGTGGGTCGCGGGTGGGTCGCGGGGTGGGTCGTGGGGTGGGGGTCGCGGGGTGGGTCGCGGGGTGGGTCGCGGGGTGGGTCGCGGGTGGGTCGCGGGTGCGTCGCGGGTAGGTCGCGGGGTGGGTCGCGGGTGGGCCGCGGGGCGGGTTGCGGGTGGGACGACGACAACAAACAACAGCAAACAACACGAATCCGCACCGCGGAATCCCACTTCAGCCACGCACCCAGGGACAGTGAATGACCGTTCGGCCCCCTCACTCTGACCACAATCCTCAACCCAAAGAAAATCCATGATTTGGGGCTCTTCGGGCCTTCCTGGGGGCTCTGTTGGAGGCGTGTTCGGTCATTTTAGAGCCATCTTGGGCCGTCTTGGTGGGCTCTTGGCCCGTCGGAAGCCGTCTTGGGGGCCTCTCTGGGCCGTCTTAGGGCCTTCTTGGGGTGCTGCAGGGCAGTCTTGGAGGCTTCCTTGGGCGTCTTAGAGTCTTTTTGGGCCGTCTTTGGGCCGTCTTGGGGCCCCTTGGGCAGTCCTGAGACCATCTTGGAGGCCTCTTGGGCGCTCTGGGGGCGTCTTGGGCCGTCTTGGGTCGTCGGAGGGCCGACACAGAGCAAATGCGAGCATCGCCCAAAAACCTAAGGAACACGACTGGGTTTTGACCTCTTCGGGCCCTCATGGAGGACGTCTTGGAGGCCTCTTGGGCCGTCTTGGAGGCATCTTGGAAGCCTTTGGGGACGCCTTGGGCCGTCTTAGAGCTTTCTTGTGCGATCTTGGAGCCGTCCGGAGCAGGACAAACCTTGGCAACCACCTTTTGGGCAGTCTTTGGGTCTTTTCGGGTGGCCGGTGGGACGTGCCGAAGCCCCAGGGGGGAGTTTCAAAAGAACCAAAACCGTCTAGGATGTACCACGCCGGGCACCCTTGTGGCAAGCCAACAGGGGGCGGCGGATCGAATAGCTTTCGGCCCATCCCCGCCACCGTGCCCGCGTTGTGGGCACGAAGCGCAGTGGATGTTTGTTGGGATCTCGTGGGGGGTCTTTCAGGGGTCGCTTGAAGGCAGTTTTGATGCCTCTACGGGGCCGTTTGGGGGCCTCTTGGGGCCTGCGTTGGGTCTCATGGGGGTCTCTCGGGGGCGTCTTGGGGACCTCTTGGGGACATCTTGGGGGCCTCTTGGGCGCCTCTTGGGGCCTCCTGAGGGCCTCTTGGGGGCCACTTGGGGCGCAAGGCTCGGATTTTCGGTTCGTATTCCCTCTCTTGGGCCCCTTTTGGAGCAGTCTTGAGGCCCTGCTAGGCCGTCTTGGGCGCCTCTTGAGGCTCTCTTGAAGGCCTCTTGGGCCGTCTTGGGGTAGTCTTGGGGGCTTCCTGGGCCGTCATGGAGCGTCGGAAAGCAGAAAAGGCGAGAACGCCAAAGTCCGTCAAACACCTACGGGCAATCAATGATGTTTGACTCTTGGGGCCAAGCTGGGAGGCCTCTTGGAGGCCTCTTCCGGCGTCTTGGAGGCCTCTTGGGCCATCTTGAGGCCGTCTTGGGCATTCTGGAACGATCGTTAGGCGTCTCATGGCCTTCTTGGAACGTCTTGAGGGCCTCGTGGTGCCCTCTTAGCCCGTATCGGGGGCCTCCGAAAAACAGTCATGCGAGAAGATGTCGGGAAGCCCAGGGGGCAGGCGAGAAGCCCATGAAGATTGGGCGATTTGGGCTCCACGCCCCGAAAGACTCCTCAGAAGCGCACAAGGGATGAGGCAAAGGACTTGAGAACACGCCCACTCCGTACCAAAGATGGCACGCTGGCGGATATCTCTTGAACCCACAGCACCCACATATGCGATGTCTTAATTTCTTCAGTACGGGGTCCCCGGAAGTCCTGACCCATTCCCCTGGACTGGCTTTTCATCCTGAGTCGTGTTTCGACGGTCCCGGGTCCCGGTGAGGGCCCCCAGAGGCCGAAAGCAACCAAAAACCTCCCGTCTTGACTTTTTCACGAATTTCTCCCCTTCACGCAGCAGCTCCCGCCTCCCCGCCCCGGCCAAGGAAGGGCAGCCGGCGCGGCGGGCGCGGCCGGCGTGCGGAGGAGAGCCAGAGCTCCGGTCGCAGCAGCGCGCAGCGAGAGGACAGCAGGGGCAGGTCCTCGGTGGGGGGGGTCAAGAACCCTGACATCCTCTCGACCCCAGGTTTCCAACGCATTGTAACAAATACCACAGCAAAAACACCACGATAGCAGCAAGGGTGAAGAGGCGGATCGGGTAGTACGAGGTCGGCTAGTAGAAACGTGCACTCTTGGGGATCCCTAGTAAGCGCACGAAGTGCGGTAGGGTGCTCACTTTTGCTCCAGAAGCGTATGCGGGAGTGGAGTTCTGGCAACACGAAGAGCCGGAAGTGTTGTAGCGCGTGCTCCTGGATCCAAGAATCGCGCGCGGGAGTGGAGTCCTGGCAGCACGAAGAGCAGGACGAACACGGAGAGCACGGCGATGTGCAGATGAGCGCGCCGTTGCCAGGGATCATGGCCGTCCGGAGCAAGAATGCGGCAAGCACTGGGGCGAGAGTAAGACTCCCGAGTGAGTTGTCCAGAAGTCTACGGCAAAGCGGCTGCCGGATCGCCTCTGGACCAGGCGGTCTTTGGCTCCCCGTCCCCCCCTTGTGGGATCTTTCTGTTGTCTTTTAGTGGAACCATCTAGCGTTGAGGAGGACGATCAATGGAGAGGAAGCATGCTGCCAAAGAATTTCCATATGTTTAGAAACTGGGTTACACAACCGTTTCAAGCATGAAAAAAACATGCTGTACACATTTGCATGGCATTTGTCCTACATTTTAAACACATGTTTAATTCGATGGTAGGACCGTTAGGGGTCCATTGTCGTGGCATCCACAAGTCTAGCGAGACGCGGTTAGGGAAAAAGACGAAGATGTTCGCTGTTTGCGCCGCTGGGGGCCCTCGCCAGGCCCTGGGACCGTCGAGCATCGGCCCGTACTTACGAAGCGTTCCTGGGGAAAGGGTCGGGACTTCCCCGGATTCCCGTCTTGGAAAACATTACATCGGAGCCCCGCGGGGAGCAAATAATCATGACGTCCTGAGGTCACGAGGATCGAGGGACCGGTGGATTTGCGAGGGATCCCGTTTCCATACAAATTCGATGCGCTCCGTCGCCGAATCAGGCGGTGTTGGCCCTAGCGCCCACGCGCCAGATCCACGGATCCGTGATCCACCTTAGCGTGTGCCCGAGAAGCAACCCGGGGGGGTCAGGTTCTCCGATGGGAGAGCAGGTCCAGGCCGCCCAATTTAAGCCCATTTGGCCTCTGGCGATCTGGGCCTGCGACCGATCGCTCGGTCAGGGTCGATCGGCGCCTGCCGCCCGATCGATCCGCCTCGCAGGCCGATCGCGAGGCCGGGCTCAGCGCGCCGCGGATCGGCGATTGCCGCCGCCGCTGCCGCGCCCTGGCCCCCCGCCTGGCGGCTGCTGCGCGCCCTCGGCGCGCCCAGGAGAGGCCCGACGCCCGAGCCCGCCTGGCACAGGCGGCAGAGGGAGCGCAGGGCGTCGGCGCGGGCCCTCCTGCGCGTCGTGAGGGCGGCCGAGATCCTCGGCAGCCACCACTCCGCGCAGCAGCACCAGCGCAACCAGCAGAACGAGCTGCAGGACCTCGAGACCAGCGGGATGGCGACCAACACGAAGTCCCACGGCCACCCTGTGGGGGCCAAGCCGTGGCCATGGAGGTCGAGTACACCAGCATCTGGATCCTCGTACCGCCGACAACATGGAGGGCATGGACAACAGCAGCCACGGCACCAGCACCAGCACAACCAGCACCACCACACCTCCCACCACGACGAGGATCGACAGCAGCACAATGACGCACAGCATCAGCAGCAGCACAAGTACGACTACATGACACCGAGAACGAAGCGGGCCCACTCAAGAAGACGCCACCAGGCCACCGAAGAAGCCACCAACGACCACCGACAGTTGCCGAAGCTGACGAAACGTCAGCTGGAGGTCACCGAGAAGGTAATGCCCGCCTTGCTCTCGGATGCCAAGGGACACGAAAGTTTTTCTCTTCCTCCCGACGACCCAGACATACGGCGGGTTTGGCACGCCACCAAGGTGGCGCGGATGGCACGTCTCGCCGACCAAGTCCAAGGAGCATGGCAAGCCCAAGTCGACCCGACCCGCTTGATCGAGGAGCTAGCCATAGTCAAGACCATGATACACATGCTGGACACACCGACGGCGCGCATTGCACAATACAGATCCCAAGTGGAGTCACGGATACAGAGACAGCAGACCGTCGAGAGCCAGCTCAAAGACCTCAATAAGGAGCACAACGAAATCAAGGGCGAGATTGCATCCCTCAAGGCACTCATCTCCGAGGCCAAGCAGTATCGAGAACACGCAGAACTTTACGAAGACAGCTGTGACGGGGATGGTGAAGATGACGTGCGACAACGCATCAGGGGCAAGACACCACATCCCGAGAGAAGACAGCGAACACCAGCCCGACAATCGGTATATGAGCCAGCGAATGCTTCGACCACCAACGACAACGGCGACCTGCGGAAACTCATTGACGTGCTGACGAGGAGAGTGGACGAGCAGCAGCGTAACCACGGAATACACCAGCACCATCTGGCGTTTCTCCATCATGAACGTGCCGAATCAGATCAACACGAAGCACAACGTCAACTGCAGACCGAGCAGATCCACGAGCTCTCGCAGCACCTACAACATTGCCAGGAACAATTCCAGCAAGCACAACTCCAACAGAGACAGTCGTACTATGACGAGATCCTAGCCTTCCGACAGCGCGAAGAGCGGATTCGACAAGAGGCTCGCGAGTCCATCACGGAGAACGTCGCTCACTACCAGCAGAAGGAGGCCCACTTGCGCTACCAGCTCAAGGAGGAAGAGTCAGCGCACCTCGCCACCTTCATCATTCAGAGGAAGCAAGAGGAAGAGACCTTCAGACATCAGCTACACGAGAACGCAGAGATCATGGTACAACAATATCAGCAACGATGCCAAGAACAACAGCAACATCTTCTCTCCGAGAAAGCTCAGGCACAGCAGGACATCAGCAACATCGCGAGGCTTGAACAGAACCAGCTCCAGGATGCTAAGGAACTACTCTTGGAGGAGTTCGGACAGATCCAGGCTCAGAAGTACCGCAACTTGACAGCCCAGAGCGAGTACAACAGCGAGATCGACAGGCTTCGAGGCACTTCCCGTGACATGCGGCGCTTCGAGAACGAACTCCAGGAGCAGCACCAACTCCAACTACAGGAGCATCTTCAGCAACACAGACAGGAACGAGAGCGACTGCACTGCGAGCTACAGCAGGCCCACGAGTACGGCACCAGCATCGACGTGGACATCCTCAGGGAGCTCGACACACAACTTCAAGAACGAGACGAGGAAGACGCACGACTGCAAGCCCAAGCAGATGCTGAACAAGCACAGATCGACAAACAGGTTCAAGCGGCACTCCACCTGCTGACCCCACCGTCTTCCTCTGATGACTCGGGCTATCAACTATACCACAGAAACCGCGGCAGCAGCAGCGGAGGACAGCCCAGCAACAGCGGACAGCGCAGCAGCACACCACCACCACGACCGACACCTGCGATGCCAACCGCCACCCCCACTGCGAGACGCCCATGCCACGACGCCGACGACGCCAGCGTGCACACCCCAATCCCAGCCGACGACGACGACCTTTGCAGCCCAACCCCGGTGGCGAGTGACGCATACCCCTTCCCTGTCCCTACGCCTTTACCCACCCCCGCCTCGCTTACGCCTATCCCCACCGAGCAGCATACGCCCATCGGCTTCCACCCACCCGACCTGCAAAATGACCGACCCAGCTCAGCGCCACCACCACGCACCAGAAGGACAGACCCAACTCAGCACAACCACCCATCCACTACTCTCCTCATTGACATCACCTCCGACGACGACGGACCGCCACCCTCCACCCCAGTGCGCATTCCACTAGCCGACATATCTCCCACCGCACCGATGCAGCCAATCCAACCACCACCTCGCTTCCACCTCGCCACGCCCGACCGCGCCACATCTGCCCCACCGCCCCGCACAGCTCTCCGAAAGAACGGATCATCTAGACGAGCGGCCAAGCCCAAGAAAGTTCGTATCTGCGACATCGGAGACGGCTTCGCAGATCCAGGAGACCGAGTGCCAACCTTCCTCAACGACGAGGAAGCCCCTGCGGTCAACTCACCAAAAAACTAACGAGGCCCTCACCCCCTGGGGGGCAACTGGCCCAGGGGGAGCGGCCCAGCATCGTACCAGAAGACTGCCTGTGCAACGACGGCACTTCCGACTCCTGCAGTGGTTGCGCCGACGACGTCAGGCGCCGACTATTTGAGCCCCTGGTGAGCTCCGATCCACCATACGACACTTCACAAGTTTCACCTACCCACTCATCAGCCAATGGCGGTATGCGCGTTGGGGAGAGCGCACCTCCAGATTCTTACGAGCATGGCGATATGTGGGAAATCCACACACCGCCCAACATGCGACAGCCTAGTAGTGGACCGTGGACCATCCCCTCGGCCTCTACCTCTCGCTTGGGGAGTGCGAGAAGGCTGTCTCACACAGACTCCACACGAGCAACACATGCGCTAGCGGACCGACCAACTACCATCACCCGACCCCGACGGCAGCATGTCGACTCACATCCTCCACCAGCGGAAGCCCAGTCACGGTCGTTCCCGACGATGACGACGCCACCGCCTACGCTTCGAGAGGAAGCACCGCCATGTGAGCACGACACGGGGGGGTATACCTCCAGTGGTTGCGGTCGTTTGGGGCAAGAACGACAAGAGCCACCAGCAAGGCATCGACGTACTAGCCATTTTGGCCATGATGGCGATCGAGACCGACAATTTTGTGAATCACCGAGCCGGCCATGTACACCAACTTCTTGCCGGCCACAACCTCCTATTTTGGACTCCCTCGACGCTACCCAGATCCCACACGGACAAAGAGACCTGCCGAATGCGGAGAGCCACGAGGAAGTACGGCATGTTCGTTTCTCCCGCGAGGTTCACACCCGCGACCAGCAGACCGACAATATCCTCTACCACATCGACTTCGACGAACAGGAGCCCTTACTACAGCACCTTCGACGACTTCAGGCTCCCAGGCTTACCTTCGACCTCACCGACCGATGCCACAACGAGGTTTCAGAGTACATGGTGCGCACATGTCCATACCGACAGCTCCTACGAGATTCTCGCCTGCATTTATACACAGACGGCTCCAAACACCCACGCCAACATGGTCAAGACGGATGGTCAGTTGTACTCGTCGGAGAAGACGAAGAAGGGTTCTCTTTTCAAGGCGCAATAGTCGGCAAGCACCGCGACTCCACCCTCGTAGAGATCCAAAACATCACGGACAACGAGACCACCTCGACATCCAGCGAGATCACAGCGCTCATCTGGGCGATCGCCTACATCATCCACAAAGACATCAACTACAGTATCTCGGTCCACTCTGACTCGCTGGGAGCGATCCAACTGGCAAGGATGGAGGCCTTCACAAATCGAGACGCCCACCTCGTGCAGCTACTGGTGATCATGTATTCGCACGTAAAGGAATATGTCGACCTGTGTCATGTTCACGCCCACGAGATGAACCCGTGGAACGAAGTCGCCGACGCCGCAGCCAACTACGCCCGCATCGAGGACTACCCGCACCCACAACCTGAATGGGCTAACATACTCAACGCGTCCCATCAGCGCAGCTGGGAATTCCTACTTGATGCCGACAACCACACCAAAGACGCTTACCCATCCTTTTCACCTGGGATGCTCAAGGCCCAACGCATAGATACCACGGCAACGACAGCGCACCTCACGACACCAGCCGAGTCCACGAAGACCGCGATCGAGATAGACGTCAACGTCGCCACCTACAACATCCAGTCAGGGCGCGAACCTGGCCAAGGAGCTCGAAGACGAAAAGAAAAGATCCACAAGCTCAGAAAGACTATGCTCAACCTGTACATGGAGGACCTCCACCTGATCGGCATCCAGGAAGCCCGCACGCCCTGGGGAGTCCGCAGCGGCAGCGACATCACCAGCACGAGTGCGTACGCCTACCACGTTATCTCAGGGGGCCACGACCAGTACAACCTAGGCTGCGAGCTCCACATACTCACCAGCAAGCCGTACGGAAAGGCAGGCGCCAAGGATCTCTACTTCCGCCCCGATCAATTCACCGTCATCGAGCACAGCCCTCGACATCTTGTAGTAAGGATCGAAGCCCCAGGCTTTAGACATACAGTCTGCGTCGCTCATGCACCACACTCACGAGCCAAGCCACACGAGAAGGATATCTTCTGGGAGATGATCGAGTGCGCAACTTCTAACCACAATATCGACATCTTCTTCATCGACGCCAACGCTCGAACGGGCAGTTTATGCAGTCAGGCAATCGGCGATCAAGGCTTCAAGCAAAAGGAGGACGACAACGGCGAACGATTCCACAAGGTCCTGCTAGGCAACTCTCTCATAGCCGCGAATACCTTCAAAAGCGGAGGCCAGGACCACTACACATGGGACTCAGGCAAGGACGTGCACAGACTGGACTACATAGTGGTTGGCCACGAGCTCTTCGACTCCATCTCCTACACGTCCGTAATGTATGGCATCGACACAGAACACGACCACTCACACAAGTACGACCACTTCCCTGTCAAGGCTAACCTCGCCTATATCGTCGAGACCACATACCAGCACGGCACGCCCAAGCTCGACATCGCAAAGCTCGACTCCGAGACAGCCAAGAACGACTTTCAACGACGCCTGCAGCAGATCCAACACCCCCCCTGGGAGACCAACCTCAACGATCATACTAAGAGCATCGTCGACCAGATAAAGGACGCAGCCTACGCCAGCTTCAAGAAGCAGCATCATGCCCCACGCAAGCCCTACATTACCGAGGCCTCCTACGCACTTCTTCGCTTTCGACGCACCCTCCTCAAGACGATCCGCATCGTGAAAAGGAATGGCATTGGCTCCAAGATATCACGCAGACGGATCCGATACACCGCGCACCTCATCGCAAACCAGTCGGCGTCATCATCCCCTGACGACGTCATCCACCTCATGGACATCCCTGGATACACTCAGCTGATGATCAAGACCATCCTCTTCATCAACCACGCGGACCCCGACCACACCACGGCTCCATACCACGACAGCACCTACTGCACAACCACCTTCACTACAAACCTTTTCGACTCATACATGAGTTTCATCAAAGATACCGACCGAGTTCTTAGAAACCGCCTCGACCACGACCGCGACGCCCACCTCGAGCGCCTATCCGACAACATGATACTATCAGCCGCAGGGAACGCCCCGCGGAAGGAATGGGCAAACGTGAGGGCACTACTCACATACGGCGGACGCACACCTAAGAGAACTCCGACTCCCAAAATACGCCAAGACGATGACGGCGCTCCACTCACAACGCCACAAGCCATTGCGGAGCACGCCCTTCGATACTACGGCAACATCGAGAACGGCATCAACACCGACATCGAAGGCGTCGTCAAGCACTACAACGACAAGACTGCCCACACCAAGCCGATACCCAACATCGACAACGTCCAGACCATCCACAACCTGACATCCGCCCTGGCAGCCGCCAAGAAAGGCAAACGCGGCGGACCCGACGGGAACACCGACGACATGGCACGAGCAGCGCCGCGCCAGATTGCCCGACTTCTGCACCCCATCATGATGAAGATGCAACTGATGACGACGGAGCCTATTTCGGCGAAGGGCGGTTTCTCCACTCATTTCTCCAAAGGACAAGGACAGCTTCATCTACAGAAGGCATACAGGGGCATTCTCCTGAACAACACTATTGGCAAGATCAACAGCAAGTTCCTGAGAGGCCTCTTCCGCGACATCTTACCCGACCTGCTCATGGACACACAATGCGGCGCAGTCCCTCACAAGGCGACTGACTTCATTACTCACACCGCCTACACCTTCCTGGACGACTGCCGTACGCAGGGTCGCACGGGCAGCATCCTCTTCCTGGACTTGAAGGAAGCCTTCCATTCGGTAATAAAGGAGTTCATTTTCCAGCTGCCGACACAGGAGGACGAGCTCGAAGACGTCATCGACAACATCGAGATTCCCATATGCCTCCTCCCCTCCCTGCGACAACGTCTTCGCTGCCCTGCACATCTCAACGCCCACGTCGACGACTCTCACCTATGCGCCCTCGTTGCCGACCACCACACGGCCAACTGGATGACCGCCAAGGGCACCGACGCTTACGCGATCCCTCGCACCAGCACCAGGCCAGGGGTGCCATACTCCGACGCGGCTTTCAACATGCACTTCTCCCTGATGCTTCAGGCCATCGCCGACGACGCTGAAGAGGCAGAAGACGGTGAGAACGGCCACCACATCCGACCCTGCGACAACCCGCTCTTCTCCGCTGCCCCTCATCAAGGCGGCAAGCTGACCAACATGTCCTTCGTAGACGACCTCACCGACTTCAACTCGACCGCACACCACTCCGACATCATTGACATTACGAGAACGTCAGCCGAACGTCTATGCCGTATAGCCTTCACCTACGGGCTCAAGCCGCACCCAGACAAGACCAAGGTCATCATCTCCTTTAACGGGACGGGCTCCAACGTCGAGCGCAGCAGGCTGGCACAGCAGAACATTACATCAATCAAGCTGAGCATCATGTCGATCTCGGTCCAGATTACAGACCAGCACCGACTCTTAGGCACCATCCTAACCAGCGGCAGCATGGGCCCCGAGGTGCAGAATCGCATGCAACGAACCGACGCCTCGGCACGAGCTCTGGAGAGGCAAATCCTAAGACGTCGACGCCTACCCCGCAAAACGAAGATCAAGTACGTGCACGCCCTCTCGACTGCCTCATTGACCTTCAACCATCACGTCTGGCCAACACTGACTCAGACTGATCACCAGCGAATATCCAACGCCTACTCGAAGCCCTATCGCACGGCAGCTGGACTACCCAAAGCTAACTCGCAGTTCCATCATTTCACGGCCACCGAAGTAGTAGCTTACACCGGCATCCCCGACTTCGACCACCACCAGTCTGCTGGGCGGTTGCGATACTTACCACGGCTTCTACGACACGCTCCTCAGCAGCTCCTCCAACTGCTTGACAACCAGCGACGGAGAAAGGGCTCGTGGACATACATGCTTTTCCAGGACTTTGACTTCCTGCGCACATACCTGGACGACCAGCGATGGCCCACGACCAGCAAGCTCGACCCAGACATCTATGCATGGGCTCGAACCACGCCGAAGCACTTCACCAACTCCGTCAACCTGGCCGTCACAAACTACATCCGCGCCTCTAAAGACCGCGCCCACGCCGACAAGCTGACCAAGGTGCTCAGACCCGACGGCCCCAGTGGAGCGGACACCACGCCACCACGTGACAACGGAGCCAGCAACTTCATCTGCTACGAGTGCGGAATCGTAACAAAGACCAAGCAGGGCATGGCAATACACATCGGACGTGAACACCGACGACCTGATCATCCGCGAAATTGGGCATCGGGTACATCGTGCAGAATATGCCGCCAGAACTTCCACTCCTTCGCCAAGCTAGTGAAGCATCTAACAACGGTCGCCCGATGCCGACGGTCATGGTACATGTGGTACTTACAAGGACCTGCCCTCACGGAGGAGGACGTGGCCACCAACCAGGCGATCTACGCGGACAGCATAGCCGAAAACAAACGAAGAGGCCGCCCCGAACTATACCACCATATCCCAGCCCACGCATCCGACGTCACCCCGTTACCCTCCCTTGACCTGTCACCTTCACCACCGCCCTTCTTCCCGACCGTACCAGCGCTCACACCACCACCACCAGCCCACCACCCTCGGACACCGATCAGAAACAGATCCATGCTCTACATCACCAACACTGATAGATACCCGAAGGATCTGCTCGATATCATGGACCAACGACTATGTTACAACGATATGGTGATGGAATTGGCTACTATGACCTTCGATGACCTCTACTCCGCCGACTACCCAGCCCAGTACGACGCTCTTGACTTGATCCACCAGCACATTCGACAAGGCGACTTCGCAGGCGTGTTGATCAACCTCTCACCCAGCACATGGATCGACGAAGGCGATGGCAATACCCACGACAGAACCGCAGCATCCTCCAGAACGACCTCTAACCCATGGGGAAGAGTAAACCTCGGAGGCAAGGCAGCAGAACGTCGACTGATCGCGAACTACCATGCCCGCCTTGCAATCCACATCATCCACACCGCCTACGAGGCCGAAGTACCTGTGCTACTAGCGCAGGCCGCAGCCCCAGCAGGACCGTCGCTGATGTGGACCACCGAGCAGATGCAGTACGCTACGGAGAGAATGGCCACGAGGCGACCTACAATGATCGACGGCAGCCTCTACGCCATGTACTACGGCCTCCAGGAGCACGGCAACCCACTCGACAATTTCTTCCACGCCGTAGTGGGCAGCCTGCCCCCATGAGGTCGGACTGCAGCCAGCAGATCCGACGACACGATCAGGCCGTAACATGGCCCATGAGGATCGACACGGGCGACCTCCAGAGCAAGACGACCACAGAGCTCTAGGAGGCCGCCAACATCATCATGGACGCCCCCTCCTGGGAGAGGGGGGGGAGGACAGGGTCCAGGCTTGATCTGGGCCGCCACCCGCGGGCAGGCCGTCAAGGGGGTGGATTCCCTTCCTCCTCAGGCCTTTAATGAGCCCCCTCCCCCCGCTCCCCTTGCCACCCCCTTGTGCGGAACTTTTGACCCCCCCTCCCCGGACAGCGTCTCCCCCTCTCTTCCGCCCCGAAACTCTTGGGCCTCCCCTTTTTTTTTTCGGTCCCTCCCCTTGAGAGGCCCTGGCGGCTTCTTACCCTGGCCTTCCTGGCGGGGGTCTGTGTAGAGGGGTGGCCCCCCAACGCGCCTCGGGCGCACGCGCGGCGGGCCCGCGCGGACGGCTGCGTCACACGACACTTAGCCGAGAGCGAAGCGAAGCGAAGGCCGCCCAATTTGAGCCCGAGTCGTTCGGTGGGGACCACACACAAACGGTGGGGACTCCACGGGGGTCCAGGACCCGTTTTCCTCGAGATCCTTTTGCTGCGTGACGAAAGGAATAAGGCTCACAGACACCCTTGCTCCAGTCCTCCCACACTGGGGGCCGGAGCAGACGGGGTCGGAGGATCGCTCCGCATGGCCGATGCATCGGCGATGCGCCTCGGTGTGGATCCCGAGTTTCTCCGCCCCGACGTCGCGGATGTATCGGCTGATGATCAGGCGATGCGGCGCGATCTTCCCTGAGATCCGACGTAGCAGACAGATACACTGGCGTCAATAATCACGACCTGAGCCCTGGACTCCATATTGTTGCGCCGCTTTTCGAGCCGGATCGATCTCTGACGGCTTTGGGACTGGGGCTCGAAGCCAGGCAAAAGCGCTCGGCTCGGAAAAATGAGAAGCCAGGATCTCAGGGCCTCGATCTCGGATCCCATCCACTCGGGCCCCCTCCGGGGACGGCTCCAGGACAGAGGTCGTGGCCACGGCTTCCGGGAAGAGAGGCCCCGCAGGGCGGGCCAAACCGAGGGAGATCCGGGAGCCCGGGCACCCTCGCGCCGCGGAGAGAGCACTGGACTGTCGTGGCGCCGGTTCTGGCCCACCACGCTTCTGCGCGGCACGCCCTCCGCTCCCTGGCTCCCAAGGCATCAGCGTCCCGAGCTTCTCTCGGGCCTCCCTCCGTGCGGAGCGGAGCGGCACGCTGTCGGCTTGGAGCGCACGGCGTGTCGCCACGGCCGCCGCCGCGACACGCCAAGCACAGGTTCCTGACCACAGGTTCTGGCAGGTTCTCTTGCACGGCGTTTTGCCCGCGCCGCCTGCTCCTTCAGTGGGTGGGCCCTTAGGAAAAAGGCAAATAAGTAAGCAGGCAAGCAGCTTGCGATTCGTATGATCTCCAGCCTTCCCTCCCGGGCCTGCCAGGGAGCCCCCCGCCCCCTCCACGCAAGCAAACTTGCCAGGATCTGACGAAAGCATGCTGAGGCTTGTTGTTCTGTTCTGCCCCCTGGGGCCCTAGCTGGGCCCCGGGATATTCTGATCACGGTTCGGGATGACAGGCCGGCTCCGAGAAGTGGGTCGAAATCCCCAGGGTGGCAGGTCCTCAGGATCGGGTGTGTGAATTCCCCCTGCTGCAGGGTGGTATGGGTGTCGCGAAACCCGACGGAAACTACATCCATCCCCCGGGTGGGGTAGGTCGGCCAGCGAGGCAAAGGTTTCCCAAGGGTGGGTGTAGATGCTTTCGCTTGTCCAGGGATGCCTTCCAAGGTTCTCAGGTGTTCATGCTTTTCCGCACTGACTCTGGAGACAAGGGCTACCAGGTACCCCAGAACTCTTGGAGCGCATCGTGAGACAATCGCATTACGAGAACAATCCCGTGCTACAGTGAGCGGCTTGAGTAAGGAACACTTACTTTTCAAAAGGGGCTCGGTCGTTCCTTAGGCTTGCATACGTTATCTACAGTTCCTTATGCATTATTTGTTATTTATCGTTTCGTATGCGTTATTCTTTGGGATAAAAAAGGGGCTTCGTTCCTTATGTATCGTTCCTTAGGTCAGGCCGATGACTGTAATTAGGCAGGCCTGGGGTAAGGATGCGTAATTCACTCGATCCAGAGCGCCCTGCCGCGCTCTCGGGGCGTCCCGGAGCGCTCGAAGTGGGCCGCGGCGCCCGATGCGTCCTCCAGGCCCGCCGGCTCTCAGAGCTTCTGGATCGAGCCGCAGCCGAACGCGTCCTCACCTTGCCTTCGCCTGGCCCCTTCCTCCTCCTCCTCCTCCTCCTCCTCCTCCTCCTCCTCCTCCTCCTCCTCCTCCTGCCGACGATACAGGCGGCCCGGATCAGTGGGTCGACCCTGCCAGATCAAGGGTACCCTCGTGTCCCGTGTCTCGCGACCGATGCCTCCCACGTTCCTATGGCAATGTGGCCCTCGGAAGGGTCTTGTGTCCTCTCGCGTATGTTCTGTCTAATCAACTCCGACCGTGTTCATGACGTGTGAAAGCCCTGTGTGTACCCCGTTCAGCTTTACCGCTAGCTCGCAGCCTGGGCCGATTGCGTCGTATGGAAGGGTCTCAGTGGACGAGCACGCGGTGACGCTGACTCGCGTTGCCAGGATCATCGGTTTTGTTCTTCCTGCTCCTCCTTCCTCATGCCGACCACCTCGGAGCCAATGCGCTGGGCTTGCGGCGGAGCAGCCCCTCCCCCGCCGATCCATGCCCATCCAGATGTTTCCCTCAGCCAATGGATCTTGAGCCGATCGATCCGCAGCCGTTCGATCCTCAGCCGATAGATCCTCCGCCGATCGATCCCCGTCCAGGCTCATCACCTCAGGGGCAACGGCAGGGGGGAGAGTCTCAGGGGGAAGCGCATCGACACCTCTGTCGAGACAGCGGAGGCCCTTCCACTGGCATTGTGTCACCCATGTTGGCTCCCGTGGGGGGCTCTCGTCGCCTCGGCTGGGTCAGCTTCTTCGATGCTTCCTCCCTGAGCCAGACCCCCTTTATCGTTGCCCCTCGGAGGGAGGGGGAATGGGCGGCTAGGAGGGACGGATTCAGGACTGGGATCATTGGCGGCGTGCACGCATGGGCGTTGCGAGGGGTGCACTCTTCGAAGAGGGCAGGGGCCCCTCAGAAGGGATCGGGTGCCTCTGAGTCTGAGACGCCAGCCCCTCGGAGGAAGAAGGGGTGGAGGGCTTAGGAGGGAGGAAAAGGAGAAGGAGGAGGAGGAGGAGGAGAAGTTAGGAGGAGGAGGAGGACGAGGAGGAGGAGGAGGAGGAGGAGGAGGAAGGAGGAGGGAGGAGGAGAAAGAGAAGGAGGAGGAGGAGGAGGAGGAGGAGGAGGCGGGCTTCTGAGGGCCTCCCCTCCGAACGTTTCCACGGTCCTGCCTTCGCCCTCCCCAGGTCCGCCAGCAGCGCCACCTCGGCCTCGCCCGCGTCGCGGGGGCGCCGGAAGCGCCGGCGCGGAGAGGGTGCGCGCGACGATCACAGGATGGTGCCCAGGGGGGGTCATGTTCGTCCCTCCTCCTCCTCCTCCTCCTCCTCCCCCCCTCCTTCCGTAACCATTTTGGCTCAAGATGATGATGCCCGCGGCGTCCTTCATGGATACCGCTAGTCCGCGGCCAGTCCCCAAGCTTTTGCCGCCACAACCACGGGCTTGCGGCTGCCCACAGCTCCTCCTGCTTCTCACTTTGGCATTGCAGGCTGCCGTCCATATCAGCTCGTCCGAGCCCAGCTCCGAGCACTTCATATCGCCCGTCGAGCCCAGCTCCGAGCACTACATATCTGCCGTCGAGCCAAGCTCCGTGCACTACGTATCCGCCGTCGAGCCTAGCTCCGAGCTCTTCATACCCGTCGAGAACGTCGCCCGCACCGAGGCCAGCCTGCAGCTTCTCCGCCAACCACGTATTGGCACCGCAGCCGCCCTGGACATTGGACAGCAGTACAGCAGCCACTTCCTGGACTTGCCCAACCTAGTGCAACCATGTCGTCAAGCAGCGAAGACAGATCTACGTCCCGCAGCGCTCCTTCGCGCAGAAGGAAAGAACGCCGTCGTGGACGCCAAGACAAAGACCGTGATGATAAAGGTTCCCGTGCCTCCGCCGCCAGGGTCACACTCGACGCCATGGGTGAAGCTGGCGTCGCCCCGCAAATCGTACGAGCTTCAGGGAGAGCTTCAGCGCCGCCTTCACGTCCTGGTCGCTCGTCAGCGCGCCCGTCTACTCCGCCAACGTTTGCAATGGATGCCGACGACCTTCTACACCACGGTGATGCTGCTCGCCACGCAGCGGCTGCCTCCGAGCAACTATGTGATGGACAATGGGATGCACCGCCCCCCCCAACTACATGCAGTCGAGGCAGCACCAGCAACAGGAGGACACCCGCGTGCAGATCCGCTGGCAGGAGCTCGTGGCCCTTGGCGTGGCCAACAAACCGCTGGACGAGCGTCCGCCGTCGGAGCCGCCGCCGACCTTCATGGAGGAGACTTACCAGCTTCCATCGCAGCCGCAGGAGGATCAGCCACGCCTGGATCGTTCCCAAGCATCCCAGGGCTGTCTCCTGATGTCTAAGCCGCTCTTCAACAAGTCATGCAGACTCAAGTCGAACACGCCGCCGCCACCTTCCAAGCCCAGGCCAACGCTCTACTCAATGAATCACGTGAAAGCTTTCGTCAAATTCTCGCACAACAAGTCATTGCTACCGAACGCCGAGTGGATACCCTACATGATGCAGTCGCCCGCGCACGCCGTGAACAAGACCGCCGAGCCGACGAGCAGAAGAAGATGTGGCAGCAGATCGATCAGATGCGCGACACGCTCGCGCTCGCTGAAGCTCAGGCGCCCATCACGGACCTCACCAAGCTCGCTGACTGGGACCGCGCCCCCGACCCGACCATCTTCTCCATTGGCTGCCAGCGCCTCATCGCGCCCGACATACTGCTCAACGACCTGCAGGAGTGGATCGCCTCTGCCAACGTGGACCGCAACGCCGTGGAGCTGCTGGGCGACGAGCCGTCCAGACGCTTCCTTCTTCAAGTCAAAGGTGATCGTGCAGCCGCAATCCCGCGTGCTCTCGCTCTTTCACGCGCCCTTCGAGATCCTGCTGGCAGGTGGAAACGCTTCGAGTCCGCCGACACGACAGGCGGCCGAGTGGATATCTACCCCAATCCCGACAAGCCTCCCAAGCAGATCCGCACCGAGATCCAGTGTAAGAAGCTCCTGCAACTGCTCCAGCACCGCTACCCTGACAAGCCGTGGAGGGCCATCCGCACCAAGGGCGAGATCCATTGCAACGCCATGCCCGTTGTCCGCCTCGGCGTCAAGGGCCAGGCCGACCCCGCCATCCTCGAATGGAACGAGCACGCGTTCGAAGGCCACCACTTCAACGAAGTGGATCGCGGTGGCGTCCTCACCGCGTTCCAGGCACTCTTCGCGGACACTGCTTCAGCAACGTGGCGGGTTTAGCCACCCCTGGTCGCCTTGGCGACCGACCGAGGACCCCGCCCCCAGCACCTTCATCACGTGGAATGCCAGAGCCCTTATGTGCCACAAGCGCCAGCGCCGCCGCCGCAAACAAGCTGCCCTGACTAAGTGCATGCGCCGCCACTGCGTCATCCTCCTCCAGGAGGTCCACGGCTCGGAGGCCCTGCTCCGCACGTGGGTGGACACGCAGCCGTGCCCGTACAAGCTCTTTTTCTCCGAGTTCGTCGGCAGCGATGACGACGAGGCCCGTCCTGGCACTGGCGGAGTTGCTACGTTGGTGCCCTGGCTCACGCCCATGCAGCTCGAGCAGCTCGCTCCTCACCAACTGCCTACCTTCGCCCACGAGGAGATCGTCAAGGGCCGCATCCAGACCGTCACCGTCGCCAATGCTGTCACGAACAACTCCATCGTCAACATGAACGTCCATAACCACGAGATCGACGCTCGCGGCCGCGACCGAGTGCAACGCGCTCGGCATCAGCATCGCACCTGGGCCGAGGCCGACTACCAGCACCGCACCTTCATCGCCATGAGGGACTTCAATACTGCCAGCCGCCCGCCGAACAGCTTCCTGCAGCCTCAGCCACAGCGCGCTCGCCTTGCTCTGGACAACAGCGCCCGCCAGCAGCAGCCTTTCTGGAAAGCACTCTTCGACTCCATGCTCGAAATCGAATCCGACTTACCGACCCGCTTCAACAAGTCTGACTTCTCCGCCTCAGCGATCGACCGCGTTTTCATCAGCTTGCCGTCCCATGCCATGCTCGAGCTCACATCGCAGATCAACATCGCACACGATCCTGCCATCCTGTCAGACTCCTTCCTCAGCGACCACGCGTTCATCTCCTACACCATCGGCATCAAGCCGCGCACGCCGACGGACGACCAGGCGATCCCCCCTGCGATCTTCCGCGACCCGAACTACGCCAAGTACCTGGACCAACTGATCACCCACGCCAAGACTCAGCACGTCCCCATCCAGAACCGCTGGCGCACGCACAAGCGCCTCATGGTCGAGGCTGCGAGGCTCGTCCGCGACGACTGGGTCAGCTCCACCGGGGACGGCAACAAATCCAACCATGCCGACGGCCGGGTCCTCACGGCGCGTTCGATCTCCCGCGCGGTCTGGCGCCAGGATGTGGCTCTCGCTCGTCGCCTCCAGTCCACCACCGAGCTTGGCGCCAAGTACCTCTCGATAACCGACGGCCTCATCGCGATCATCAACCAGCCCGAGTTCGCTGCCATGACAGCCGCGCTACACCGCGACTTCGAGGCTCGGCAACGCTCTCTGGCGCAAAGAGCTCCCCAACGCCCCCCTGGCGCGGCAGGGGCCCTCGAGCCCGAGAAACTCCGTCGTATCTTGCGAGCCTCGCAGAGGCGGGCTCTCCTTTGGGCCCCCTGGAAGCGCCGTCTGGTCCTCCAGGGTATCAAAATCTCGGGCCCAGATGGCCCCCCCTGGGGTCGCCGGAGAGAGCTGCGATATGGCGGGCGCCCTCCGCACCTACTGGAAGCCCGTCTTCGCGCGCAAGCTCGTCGATGCCGACAAGGTCACGCAGTACATCTCCGAGCACATGCCGCTGGGCGCCGCCATCGACGTGGGCGCGCCGACAAAGAGGCAGATCCGCGCCTTCCTGGCTCGCACCTCGCCGTCGGCTCCAGGACCTGACTGCCTCCCATATCGCGCTTGGCTCGCACGCGACTCGTCGCTGGACCTGCTTGAGGACCTCTCGTTCCACCTCTGCTCGAACGCTAACTTCATCCGCGACCTGAACGATTCTGACTTCGCCTTCCTGCCGAAAGGGGACAACCTCGTCGGCGAGATGCAGACCGACAGGGCGCCCGAGGACACGCGCCCGCTCTCGCTCAAGAACGCTGATATCAAGGCCATCGCTGGCGCCGCCAACTTCCTCCTCAAACCCGCTGTGGCAGAGCGGACTCACAAGGCGCAGCAGGGATTCGTAGTTGGCCGCAACTTCACCAATCACATTGTCATTCTTGACGCCGAAATGCGCCGCGCTGGGATACGTCCCGACGATGCTGATCACCACCCTGTCTTCACCAGCTTCGACTTGGCGGCGGCGTTCCCGTCTTTGGGTCGGGCCTGGCTTCTCGCGGCCCTCGAGCGCTTCGGGGCCCCCATCGGCCTCATGAGCCTCTTCCGCAACCTGTGCCACGCGCCGAACAGCTTCCTCAAGGTCGACGGGATCCGCCACTTCATTTTCGCCATCGAGTCGGGCGTCGCGCAGGGCTGCCCCGCCAGTGGTTCGGCATGGGCCATCGCGATGGACCCGCTCGTCCGCCACATCGCCTCCTTCATCGAGCACCCCGACGGCGCGCCCGACTACGACAAAGGCTACCTCGGCGTCTGCGCGGACGACACTGGCCTGCTCACATTCTCGTTCGACACGCTGCGCAAGGCATCTGAGCCTTTTTCTGCCGCAGAGGAGCTCGCGCTTCTCTCCCTCAAACCTCGCAAGTGTGTAGTCGTGCCCCTGTGGGCGCCTGTCTCTCCTGCCACCACCGCCCAAACGAAAGCGCCCCTGGCCGACCTTTGCCCTTCCTGGGGTGGCTTCACGATTTCGGGGCGAGCCAAGTACCTCGGGACCTTCCTTGGACCCTCTCCCTCCCTTGCCCTTCAATGGCTCGCCCCAGGGCAAACGTGGTGGCAACGCAGTAATTTGCTCAATCTCGTCCAGTCTGGCAGTGATGCCACCGTTCGCTTATGTATCACTTCCGTCTTGTCCACGCTCAGCTACGTTGCTCAGTTCTTCCCGCTCGATTCTAAGATTGCTCGTCGTGAACTGTACGTCTTCAACAAAATGCTCAGCATGCCGCCCAACTCTTTTCGGAAGGTAGATCTCATCTCGATGGCGGAATGGAGCCCGCCACCTGTCCTTCGCTCAGTTCAAGTCGCATCTGTCGCAGCAGCCATCCGCACAGCCACTTTTACACTCCGTGGAGAATGGGAACCATTCTTCCACCGTCTGCGAGACACCGCCTGGGAGGAGAGCA